TAGCATCTCCCCTGCAAACCAGTGTGATGACTGAGGTAATAGCTGCGAACCACAAGGAGCAAGTTTCCTTTATTTAAAAAAAACACAAATTCCACCTAGGCAATTCAATGACAGAAACCTTTACTGCAGAATTTAGGCCCTTTCTGAATACTGGATAGGGTTACATTCAAAGGTCTGAAAACAGGAAGCATAGGGTTAAGCTGAACCTGACCTCTGAGCAATACAGCCAAGGTCTGTTGGTAGCAAGGTGTTGGTGCTGTGCTGCTATGTTGTTCTTAGGTGGCTGTTGCTGTAACAGAGAGAGTCATCTGAATAGAGAGCACAAAAAACATTCTCTGGGGAACGGTGGTGGTAAGAGGTGGTAGTTCTTACCAGGTTTGGCTGCAGACAAATGCCAGCTGTATTCCCAAACTCCCATGACAGAAATACTCTCCTTTTCTCTATAGGTCAAAGACAGTCACATACATGCCAAACATTTCCCTTCCTCGCTTGAAAGGACAAGTGCTACATTTTACATTCCTTTCTCCCTTGTGCACAATGCCATGTAATGCTATATTTTCACTTAGCAGCCATTAGCCTGAGAGACCACACTTATCTCCCTCCAAATGCTAACAATGCAGAGGAGAAGAGGACCCTAGTGCCTGGCTACTGATACAATATACACAATACAGTGTTGGGAGGAAGTAGACTGGAGGACCTACATCTCTCCTTTGGGAAAGCCCCTCCCCAGGCTACAGAGCCCATGCAGAATGTCATCACAATCACAGCTCTACTAACACAATAAACCTTGTGAACTGGGATTGACTGTTGCCAGTCCCAGGAGCAGAGTTAATGCTGTGTGGGCATGTCACAAGCCTTTACTCTGTATGCAGCTTCACCAGCATCAAGGTCAGGGCTCAGCTGCTTACCCCAGGGCTGCATGAACCCACAGTTGTTGCTTTCCCCAGGGGAAATGCATGACTATCTTGGACTGGGTTGGTTTGCTAAAGGAATAAGAGAGTTATGGTAGCTGAACTCTACCAAACCTACTCCTCAAAAGCCCAATCATACTGTACTGAAGGTAGACACATAACTGAAATTAGCCATTAATGAGGTCTCCAGTTACCTTAATACACTACATTATAAATGTAAATAAATGCCCTTGGTACTCAGGAAGCTAAAATTTAAAAAGAAGTAAATCCAGCAGCAAAGAAAGGCCTGTTGCTTTCAAGGATGGGATGAAGACGTAGGATCCTTTTGAGCCTTAGCATTTTCTGGTGCAGCACAAGAAGGTAAGTGGAGACATGTAAGAGACAGTAAAATGTCTATTGAAACTTTCTTTGTAGGTGTTTGGGGTAACAGAGAAATCACTTTTTTCTCTTGGATCCATGTGCAATGCCAGGCTAAACATAATGGGGAAAGATTATTAACTTTATTGCTGGCAGACCACACAGGCCCCTGCAGCAGGTGGTTGTAGAACAGCTGTTTAAATGAACTGGGAGCCACACACTGCACATGGTTAGTCACACTGGCAGAGGTATCCCAACTGGACCTGGGATATTGCACAGGAAGAAGCTAAATTAATTTGAATATCTAGGCTATAATATACCTCCTGGTACAAGGGAGCTGATTTTTTTTTTTATGTATGTTTTTTAAGTAAAGTATGATTTTTTGTTTTTAGGTAAATATGGTCTTTAACTCAATATAGGAGTCAGAAACTTAGCTCGTATTTACTATATCAGCCACAAATGTGTGAAACCACTAACTCTAAAAACCTTTTTTATTTACTAGTTCTAATGCCATTGCCTTGGTATCCAAGCACCTTCTTTAGGAGTCACTAAGCAGTCACACATGGTTTGTTCTTTTCCTCCTACCCCCAGGGGGAGACTGCAAAATAGTGGATTTTGGTGGGACTTTGTGTGGCGTTTAAAATGTGCATATTAAAATGTGCAGCTTGCTAGAGAAGGCAGGTCACAGAAATACAGTATACCCCTACTACAGAGTGGTGGTGGGGTGTGGTTTGTGATGGGCATGGAGTCTTGTAGGAGTTTGTGCCACGATCTAAGAAACGTGTCCTACTCGCCAACTTCAGCCTTATGGTAGTGTCCGTGTGGAGTGGAGTTTAGAGGTGCTCAGTGGCATTGGCTGTGAAGGAGGGTGTGGCAGTTCACCCTTGGGGTGCTTGCCACTTGAAGGGCTTGTGCGAGCTGCAGAGGAGCCTATGGGTGTGAGCAGCAGAGGGACACCCCTTTCCCTTGGAAGGATTTTAAGGGGGAATGTGTGTGGCAGTGCACCTTTGGGGTGCTTGCCACTTTAAGGGCCCAAGCAGGCAGCAGTGCAGCCTGAAGGTGACTAGCTAATCAGAAAATTGCATGACAGCGAGGAAGTCGCCTGATTGGAGGAGGGCCTGGCTGCATGAGTATGTGGGGCGAAGTAAACACACTGATGGGAAGAAACCAAATCTAGGTGGACCTGAACAGGTTGAGAAGTGGGCAGAGAACAACAGGATGCAGTTCAACAAGGACAAGTGCAAGGTGCTGCACCTAGGAAGAGGAAATCACCAGCACACCTATAGGCTGGGGGATGACCTTCTCAGCAGCACAGTGGTAGAAAGAGATCTCAGAGCTGTTGTCGACTCCAAGATGAATGAGTATCAATGTGACAAAGCAATCAGCAGAGCTAACTGCACTTTGTCATGCATTAGTAGGTGCATCATGAACAGGTCCAGGAGGTGATATTTCCCCTCTATGTGGCACTGGTCAGGCCGCAGTTGGAGTACTACATCCAATTCTGGGTGCCGCAATTCAAGAGGGACGTGGACAACCTTGAGGGTCCAGAGGAGGGCTACTCACATGGTCAGACACCTGCAGGGAAGTCCCTATGAGGAAAAGCTGAGGGACCTGGACCTTTTCAAACTCCGCAAGAGAAGGCTGGGGGGGGGGGGGGGGGGGGGGGGGGGAGCAAAATCCCG